TTGTATACCGTCCTACTCCCGAAGGACTCAGAATAAAACATATAAATACAAAATTTAAAATAGAGTAAAACGAATTAAATAATTTGGCTGAAAATTTAAAACCCCAATAATTTAAAACCAAATTTAAAATTTCCATTTAAAAAGGGGAAAAACTTAGGTCAGGCCAGCTTGATGAAATAAGAATGTCTTGAGCGCGCAACGGAAGGTACGCAGATCCGGGATCCTCCGTATCTCCAGGGGGAGCTCGTTCCAGATAGTAGGTGCCCCCACAGAGAAGGCTCTCCCCCTGGGGGCCGCCAGTTGGCATTGTTTGGCCGACGGCACCCGGAGGAGTCCCTCTCTATGAGAGCGTACCGGCTGGTGGGAGGCTATTGGTGGTAGCAGGTGGTCCCGTAAGTAACCAGGTCCTATGCCATGGAGTGCTCTAAAGGTGATAACCAAGACCTTGGAGCGCACCCGGAAGACCACCGGGAGCCAGTGCAGCTCGCGCAGGAAAGGTGTTACATGGGAGTGCCACGTCGCTCCCATTACCACCCGTGCGGCCGCACTCTGCGCCAGTTGGAGCCTCCGAGTGCTCCTCAAGGGGAGCCCCATGTAGAGAGCGTTACAATAATCCAGACGGGAAGTGACGAGGGCATGAGTCACCATGCGTAGGGAGTCCCGATCTAGAAAGGGACGCAACTGGCGGATCAGGCAAACCTGATGAAAAATCCTCCCGGTCACGGCCATCAAGTGCTCTTCTAAAGACAGCCGTGAATCCAGGAGGACACCCAAGTTGCGAGCCCTTTCCGTGGGGGCCAATGATTCGCCCCCAATAGTCAGCGATGGCACCAACTGACTATATCAGGACGTCGGAAACCACAGCCACTCCGTCTTGGATGGGTTGAGCCTGAGCCTGTTTCTCCCCATCCAGATCCGTACAGCCTCCAGGCACCGGGACATCACTTCAAAGGCATCGTTGGGGTGGTCTGGGGTGGAGATGTACAGCTGGGTGTCGTCAGCGTACTGGTGGTACTCCACCCCGAAACCACGGATGATCTCGCCAGCGGCTTTACATAAATGTTGAACAAAAGGGGCGAGAGGATAGATCCTTGTGGCACCCCACATATAAGGGGCCTTGGGGTCGACCTCTGCCCCCCCCGTCAACACAGACTGCGACCAGTCGGAGAGAAAGGAGGAGAACCACCGTAGTACGGTGCCTCCCACCCCCAACTCTTCCAACCGGTGCAGCATGATACCATGGTCGATGGTATCAAAAGCTGCTGAGAGATCTAACAGGACCAGGACAGAGGGCTGTCCCGAGCCCTCCAGAGTTCATCCACCAACGCGACCAATGCCATTTCTGTGCTGTACCCAGGCCTGAAGCCCAACTGGAACGGATCTAGATACATCGTTTCATCCAGGTACTTGGGGAGCTGTCGCGCAACCACGCTCTCAACAACCTTTGCCACAAAGCGAAGGTTGGAGACTGGACGATAATTAGCCAATACTGCCGGGTCCAGGGAAGGCTTCTTGAGGAGAGGTCTCACCACCGCCTCTTTCAAGGCGGCGGGAAAGACACCCTCACCCAGTGAAGCATTTATAATCCCCTGGAGCCAGCCTCGCGTCACCTCCCGGGAAGCCAGCACTAACCAGGAGGGACACGGGTCATTATGGTCCAACTTTCACAACCATACATTGCAACTGGGAAAACCATAGCCTTGACTAAACACACTTTTGTTGGCCGGGTGATGTCTCTGCTTTTTAGTATGCTGTCTAACTTTGCCAAAAGCTTTCCTCCCCAGGAGCAAACATTTTTTTAATTTCTTGACTGTAGTCTCCATGTGCGGTGATCTTGGAGCCCAGGAAAAGAAAATCTGTCACTATCTCCATTTCTTCCCCATTTATTTGCCAGGAATTGAGAGGGCCGGGAGCCATGATCTTAGTTTTCTTAATGTTGAGTTTCAAGCCAACTTTCACACTCTCTTCCTTCACCTACATCAGAACTCTTTAGTTCCTCTTCACTTTCTGCCATTAGAGTGATATCATCTGCATATCTGAGGTTGTTGATATTTCTCCTGGCAATCTTAATTCCAGTTTGTGATTCATCTAGCCCCGCCTTTCTCATGATGTACTCTGCAGTTAAATAGGCAGGGCAACAGTATACAGCCTTGACAGACTCCTTTCCCAATTTTGAACCAATTAGTGGTTCTGTGTCCAGTTCTCACTGTTGCTTCTTGACCTGCATTAGGTTTCTTAAGAGACAAATAAATGGTTTGGTACTCTCTTTGAGAACTTGCCACAATTTGTTGTGATCCACACAATCAAAGACTTTAGCATAGTCAGTGAAGCAAAAGTAGATGTTTTTCTGGAACTCCCTAGCTTTGTCCATGATCCAGTGTATGTTGGCAATTTGATCTCTAGTTCTTCTGCCTCTTGAAAATCCTGCCTGCACTTCTGGTACTTCTCAGTCCACATACTGCTGGAACCTAGCTTGTAGGATTTTGAGCATAAATTTGCTAGCATGTGAAATGAGTGCAATGGTGCTGTAGTTTGAGCATTCTTTGTCATTGTCCTTCTTTGGAATTGGAATGTAAACTGATCTTTTCCAATCTTGTAGCCACTGTTGAGTTTTCCAAATTTGTTGGCATATTGAGTGTAGCACTTTTACTACATCGTCTTTTAAGATTTTGAATAACTCAGCTGGAATACTATCACCTCCACTAGCTTTGTTGTTGACCAGTTTTCCTAAGGCCCATTTGACTTTACATTCCAGGATGTCTAGCTTGAGGTCAATGGCCACCCCTTCGTGATTATCAGGGATTTTAAGCTTGTTCTTGTATAGTTCTTCTGTGTAGTTTTGCCACCTCTTCTTAATCTCTTCTGCCTGTTAGGTCCCTGCCATTTTGGTCCTTCATCATGCCCATCTTTGCATGAAATGTTCCCTTCATATCTCCAATTTTCTTGAAGAGATCTCTGGTCCTCCCTATTCTATTCTTTTCTCCTATTTCTTTGCACTGTTCATTTAAGAAGGCATTCTTATCTCTTCTAGCTCTTCTCTGGAATTCTGCATTCAATTGGGTGTATCTTTCTCTTTCTCCCTTGCCTTTCACTTCCCTTCTTTCCTCACCTATTCATAAGGCTTCTTCAGACAGCCATTTTCCTTTCTTGCATTTCTTTTTCTTTGAGATGGTTTTAGTTGCTACCTCTTGTACAATCTTGCGAATCTCCATCAGTAGTTCTTCAGGCACTCTGTCTATCAGATCTAATTCCTTAAATCTATTTGTCACCTCTACTGTATATTCATCAGGGATATGATTTTGTTCATACCTGAGTAGCCTAGTGCTTTTCCCTACTTTCTTCAATTTAAGCCTAAATCTGAGCCACAATCAGTTCCTGGTCTTGTTTTTACTGACTGTATAGAGCTTCTCCATCTTTGGCTGCAGAGCACATAGTCAATCTGATTTCTGTGTTGACCATCTGGTGATGTCTATATGTAGAGTCATCTCTTGGATTGTTGGAAAAAAGTGTTTGCTATGGCCATTGTATTATCTTGACAGAATTCTATCAGCCTGTGCCCTGCTTCATTTTGTTCTCCAAGGTCAAACTTGCCTGTTATTCCGGTTATCTTTTGGCTTCCTACTTTAGCATTCCAATCCCCCATGATGATAAGGATATCATTTTTTTGGTGTTAATTCTATAAGGTGCTGTAGGGCTTCATAGAACCGGTCAATTTCATCCTCTTCAGCACCAGTGGTTGGGACATAGACTTGGATTACTGTGATATTGAATGGTTTGCCTTGGATTTGAACTGAGATCATTCTGTCATTTTGGAGATTGTATCCCAGTATTGCTTTTCCTACTCTTTTATTGACTATGAAGGTTATTCCATTTCTTCTGAGGGTAGTATACCTGATGGTCATCTGAATTAAATTCACCCATTCCTGCCCATTTTAGTTCGCTGATTCCTAAGATGTTGATGTTCAGTCTTGTCATCTCGTTTGACCACGTCCAGCTTGCCTTGATTCATGGATCTTACATTCCAGGTTCCTATGGAGAATAGATCTTTACAGCATCGGACTTTCCTTTCACCACAGATGCATCCACAGCTGAGCGTCCTTTCGGCTTTGGGTCATTCTTTCTTGCACTACTAGTACTAGCCCTCTGCTCTTCCCCAGTAGCATATTGGACACCTTCCGACCTGAGGGGCTCATCTTCCACCCTCATATCTTTTTGCCTTTTGCTTTTTGGTCCATGGGGTTTTCATGGCAAAGATACTGGAGTCGGTTGCCATTTCCTTCTCCAGTGGATCACGTTTTGTCAGAGCTCTTTGCTATGACCTGTCCGTCCTGGGTGGCCCTGCACGGCATAGCTCATAGCTTCATTGTGCAAACCCCTTCACCATGCCAAGGCAGTGATCCATGAAAGGGTCTTATGGATGTAGGCCACTGCAAATCCCTAGCTATAACTCAAGGAAAGATGACATCATTTTAAATAGAAATGCTGACTTAAGATCATTGATAATTCTATGTTAAAATTAAATTTATAAAATATCTGAATGTTACCATCATTGTTAGCTAAACTTACTTCTTAACCAGAGGTCCCCAGCATTTCCAGCAAACCGCTGGGGGGAGGCGAGGGGATGGTTCTGCATGAGCGGTGGGCAAGCACACAGGCATGCATGCAGTTTCATTTGCAAGAGTGGCAGGCACGCATGCCACTCGCACAAATGGAGCGTGCGTGCACAAGTGAGGATGCACGTGCACACTCACTCGCCACTTCTGCGGCCATGTTCTGAACAGCTCAAGGTCCAGTAGTGGTCACAATCCGGGGGTTGGGGACTCCTGTTCTAAACAACAGTGTTTACAACTAATATTTATTTTCCAGAATATAAGTAATTTAAATCACTCAAATATTTCTGTAAAATTTTAGAATCATTCCTGTATGCCAATCTGCAACACTATATTTGTATTGCATAATTTATGCAATGATTTAGATAACTTTATTAAACATGCTAATACCTTTATCACCACAGAAGGAATCACCTCTGCTTTAATTTCACTGTCAACAGCTTGCTGTAAACAAAACATAATGAATTAGTCAGGAACGTTTATGATACAGGAAACATTATTCTATTAGATGACTACATTTGAAATAATGAAACAAGACAAGATTAAGTTAAACTGTTCAAATCTTAAAAAGCAAAAATATACAAGCAGTGTATTCCTAGATTTGTCTCATAGCCAAGCCAAAAAATGTAATTTATGGGCAATTAAATATTTACATTATAAATTAACTTTTGAAAAATCATATAAAAAAGTTAAATAAAGTAATTAAAATGCATAATTATAGAATATATTTAAAATCTAATTTAGTCATTTTAGCGTAAGAATTAGGATGAAAGAGCCAGTGATTCACTTCAAACACCATTGTAAACCTTTTATTATAAAAATGTATTTATGTTTTGAATAGATATCTGAATTGAGTAATTATAATTCCACACATTATTTACCGTTAGAGTATTGTTTTTATGATCAAGGATTCAACATATAAAGCCAAGTGCTAACTGAATAGAAAACAAAAATAAACTAGCATCTCTAGACCAGAGTTTGTCTTTTGCAAATTCTACACTGTGGTCAGCATAAACCAGGGGTGTCAAACTCAAGGCCTGCAGGCACGGCCTGGACATAGCAAAAGACTGACCTGTGGTGCCTCTGGTAGCCTTAACAGGGCACAGGGGGCTGTGTGTGGCCCCGCTGCACCCCGTATTCAGCCTGGATGGCCTCCAACAGCACTCTGCCGGCCAAAATGGGGCAGTGTGGGGGCTGCGTGGGGCCCCACTGCACCCCAATTTTGGCCTGGACGGCCTCCAGCAGCACTCTGCCAGCCAAAATGGGGTGCAGGGGCCACACACACATACCCATGCCCTGTTTTGGCCAGGAGTGCTACAGGAGGTGTTCATGACCGCAAATGGACCGCAGAAAACTACAATGCTGATCCGGCCCTCGAAGAAATCCAGTTTGACGCCCCTGGCATAAACAATAGCTTTGCATAACGTCTGAATTGAGTTTTTAGAGACAGTAAAAAGAACAGCTGGTGAATTAACAGGCAATGTAGAACTTTTAGTGAAAACTAGAATTTAGATAGGGCTTCTAAAACAGGGAAGCAGCTTCCACTAAATTAAACTATATTGTATGAATCTTAATTAATAGTTTATTATTGGAAGTCACTTTCCTCTGACTAGACTGTAGCTGTACTTGGAAAGTTTATATCAAAATAGAACTGGCATAAGCAAACTAGGTTCTAATCATTCTCCCACATTAGAGCATTTATGAACTTTATATCAGAACATTTTAGTTTGGTGCATTTACTGTGGTGCTTAAAAATTTGGGAACTCTTTTGAATTCTAAGTTGTTGTTAGTCACGAAGTCGTGTTGGACCCATCGTGATCCCATGGACAACGTTCCTCCAGGCCTTCCTGTCCGCTATCATCCCCCGGAGTCCATTTAATCTCCCACAGACTGATTCAGTGACTCCATCCAACCACCTCATTCTCTGTCGTCCCCTTCTTCTTTTGCCCTCAATTATTCCTAGCATTAGGCTCTTCTCCAATGAGTCCTTCCTTCTCATTAGGTGGCCAAAGTATTTGAGTTTTATCTTCAGGATCTGGCCTTCTAAAGAGCAGTCAGAGTTGATCTCCTCTAGGACTGACTGGTTTGATCACCTTGCAGTCCAAGGGACTCGCAGGAGTCTTTTCCAGCACCATAGTTCAAAAGCCTCAATTCTTTGATGCTCAGCCTTGAATTCTCAATATTTCTGCAAATATGACCTAAAACATGTTTTTTTCTTTTTCTTTAAAAAAAAAAGTTTTATTCTTTTATTACTACACATTATGACAAACACATCACATACAACATATAAATACTGTATATCCTCTTTTTAACAAGTGTTTCTTCATGGTCGGCTTTCCACTGTGACTTCCCCCCCGCCAAGACTCTCATATTGTTTCATTTTATTCATTGTCCCCTTTTTGATTGATTACAATGTATTTTCTAATCCTAATAGCCTTAATTTTATGCCTTTCTATATATTTGTTTCAGATGCCTGAAAACCCATTAATGCTTAACTTTTTTTCCCCTTTAAAACAATTAGCTAATATATATATATATATATATATATATATATATATATATATATATATATTTGTTACATACATATTTTACATTTTATCTTCTTCCCTATTTATGTTGTTCTTTATTTCTGCTCTCAAGCCATTCATACCATTTGTTCCAAATTATATAGTAATCTGTTTCTTCTTTTTCTTCTGTGTAAATCGGATATTTTATTTCTTTGGTATATGTTCTCATGAATATTCCTAGTAGAAATGTTTCCGGTTTTCTTTCTATTGGTTGATCTGTTATTTTTTCTATCCATTTCTTTATATTTGTCCAGAATTTTTTCCCCACCGGGCATGTCCACCATAGATCGTAATAAGTTCCATGAGTTTTCTTACACTTCCAATATGTTGGGTCATTATTTGGGAACATCTTTGCGATTCTTGTCGGTGGTAAATGCCATCTATAAAACTCTTCAACTGATTTTCCTTATATGCCGCTGATAATGTTAATTTTGAATTTACTTGCCATGTTGTTTTCCACTTCTCCAAATCTATTGTATAATTAAACTTCTGTGCCCATTTAATCATTGAATCTTTCACTATCTCCTCTTCCATTTTATAATTTAATAAAAATTTGTATATCTTGCTAATTAGTTTTTCATCCGTCCCTAATATAATTTTTTCTAATTCGTGATGTTCTCTTTGTATTTCATATGTTTTTGTGTCTTCTTTATGTTTGGATTGTATTTGTATATATATCCACCAATCTATATCTCTGTTCAAATCTAATTCCAGTTCTTGTTTTGATTTCAGTTTTCCTTGCTGGTCTATTAGGTCTTTGTATCTAATTATTTTATTTAATTCTGTTAAATTTGGGTGTTTTAATATTTCTGTCGGTGAAAGCCAAATTGGTATTTTTGTATAGTGTTGTTTTTTAATTTTCAACCAAATTTGTAATAATGCATTTCTTAGTATATGTCTCTTAAAGTAACTATGTATTTTATATTTTCCATCCCAGAGGCAAGTGTGCCATCTTACTTGTAGATCATGGCCTTCTATCGCTAATATTCTCTTATTCCTTAGTTCTATACATTCCTTTAACCATGTTATGTCAGCAGCTTAATAATATAATTCCCATTCTGGGAGTGCTACTCCCCCTCTGTCTTTTGTATCCTATAGAAATTTAGTCTGATTCTTGGTCTCTTTCCCTGCCATACAAATTTGGTAATTATTTTGTTTAATGTTTCAAAGAACTTTTTTTCCAATTTTATTGGTATAACCTGGAAAAGGAATAGCAGTTTTGATAGAATATTCATTTTGATGGTGACAATCCTTCCCAATAATGATATCTGCAAATTTTTCCAACTATCCAAATACTTTTTAAGCTGTAATACTATTTTGTCATAATTATCTTCTTTGATTGAGGAACCTCTTGCCGTTAACCAGATCCTTAGATATTTTATTTTCTTTGTTACTTGAATTTGCATATTAATTTCCAACTCTTTTTCTTGTATCGTAGTAAGGTTTTTGGTTATTAGTTTTGATTTGTATTTATTGATCTTAAGTCCCGCTACTTCTAATTCTTCTAATTTCTTAATTAATTTTGGTCCTGATTCTAGCAGTTCTACTATAAACACCATGTCATCGGCAAAGGCTTGAACCTTGTATTCTTCATTCTTTATTCTTAGACTTTTTATTTCTTGATCCTGTCTAACATTTTTAAGGAGCACCTCCAATATTAATATATACAAAAATAGAGAGAGCTGTCTTACCCCTTTCGTTACACTGAATTGTTCTGTTGTATCATCGTTTATGATTACTCTTGCTGTTTGTTTTGTATAAATTTTCCCTATCATTTTTTAAAATTTTGTCCCAAATTGCATAAATGTTAGTTGTTCTGTTAAAAATTTCCAATTCAGATTGTCAAATGCCTTTTGGGCATCAAGGAAAACCAGTGAAGCTTGTTTTCCGGGTGTGCTTCGTAGAATTCTAATGTATTTATTATTATTCTCATGTTGTTTTTGATTTGTCGCCCAGGAAGGAATCCGTTTTGATCTGGGTGTATATAGTTATTCAGATTTTTTAAAATTCTTTCAGCTATAATTGCTGCAAATATCTTGTAGTCTATGTTTAATAAGGAGATTGGTCTGTAATTCTGTATTAAATGCTGCTCTGTATCATCTTTAGGAATAAAACCTCCATCCAAGTTTTCGGGATTTTTGCATCATCCAAAGCATCATTGTATAATTCTAACATTATTTCTCCCAATTTTTCCTGTGAATTTTTATATAATTCCACCGGTATCCCATCCGGGCCAGGTATTTTGTTACTTTTTTGTTTTTTCAATGCCAATTCTATTTCCAGTTTAGTTATTAGCCTATTTAGTATTTCTTTTTATTCTTCTGTGATTTTATTCATTTCTGATCCTTCTTTATATCGTTTAATTTTTTCTTCCTCTATTTCTTCCTGGTGATATAAATTTGAAAAAAATGTTTGAATGATTTTCTTTTTAACTTCTCTTCTGAACTGCATAACCCCATTCTCATCTTTGAGTTGGTATATCATTCTTTTATCTTTTTTCAGTCATCTACCAGTTTTGTTTGCGAATTTAAAATAATTTTGTTTTGCCATTTTTATTCTTGGTCTACTTCTTTTTGAGTTATCAGATTTATTTTATGTTTAATTGTGTTCCTTTCCTCTTTTACTTTTTTGTTTTGGGGATCTTCCTGTAATTTGTATTCTACTTTCTTTAGTTTTTCATATAGTTTTTCTTGCTGTTGTCTCCCTTCCTTATTTTTTCTCCCTATATATGCAATCGTCAATCCTCGTATATATGCCTTTGCCATGTCCCAAATGTTTTGTAAGGAGATGTCTTCTTTTTTGTTTATTGTAAAGAATATGTCCAATTCATTTTCTAACATTTGTTTGTACTCTTTATCTCTACATATATTTTGGTTC